ACTTTAAATTATAAAAACTAAACATCCTACAGTATTTTTACAGTCTTTATTTTACAGTTAAAGTATATGTTTTTAAAATAAAGTCTAATGTTACAACTAATCAGGGATCCCTTTAAGGAATGCTAGGCCTTTAATTATGTTCAGTTATTTGCAGTTATTTCATTTATTTAGAAAATTAACACTTTTACATTATTTACAAGCTACGTTTGATTTTATTGGTCGGATGTGCTTTGTGTTCACCGTCGAATAAAGTCAGCCATTTAATTAAGCCCCTCCATTCATTTGATCACCACTCTGCTGTCTCTCAGCAGTGATTTCTGTGTCTGCAGTCCTGTTGATAGCTAAGGTGATCACTAAGGGCACTGAAAATATCTTCTCTCGTTAGACCTGATACCAGATCTGCAGATCCTAATCCGTAAACTGCTTTAGACTCTAACGATCAGCTGTCATCAGTTTTAAACCTGAAGCCTTTGGTCACATCTTTTCCATGAAATTCTTTCATTCTCAAGCACCTTTTTTACATCTCATCTAGCCAGTTGCATTAAGTCACGTGATGGCGGCTTGATGAGTTGGGGTACCTGAGGACTGTTGCTAATGGTGACAAATGACTGGTGTGCAGAGAGAGAGAGGGAGAGGGAGAGAGAGAGAAAGAGAGAGAGAGAGAGAGAGAAAGACTGTGTTCAAAAAAGGAACGCTAATGTAAATGAGAGGAGCCAGTGTTTGCTGCTTTTACAGACACAGAAAAGAGTACAGGAATGCTCCTTTTAAGCTCTTTTCTGCAGCGACAGTATTTGCCTTTTTTTAAGTTACAAGAGAAAATCAAGACTGCATGTTTTTTTTTCCCCTGGCATGAAGTGACACCTCTAGTTTCATCGAAATGTATGGTGCAAAGCATTAAACGTTACCTAATCAAACATTTTAGCAACATGAATGTTGTTTCGCTGACACAGCTGTTTTAGAGGAGAAACTGCTCATCACTTTCCATTATTACACATTCACGTGGGCTGTGTTTGTTTGAGTCATGGTTCTAAGTACAAAAGATGTTGGTTTTTGTACAAACTGTGAAGATTCTTCAGGCAACATCAGATTTGTGCTTTTGCAGTTATTTTTTTTTTGGGGGGGGGGGGGGGGGTATTATTTTCTGCTTCTAATTAAAAGCGTTGGTGTATTTTCATCATAAGTGATATAAGTCCAACACCAGTGGGACACTTCTGAAGCAGCACATAAATTTTTTTAAACTCCTGAATAGCTACTGTCAGTAAGGCTCATGTGAAATCCAGTTTAAGTTTTTCATAATGATTACTATGTTTTATAATAATTATACAGGTAAACTAAGCAACCAAAATCAACAGAATTGATGCAAAAAATAACATTTTATTTTTCATATTTCATCAATAAATGCATTGATCAAAATAATGTCCCAGTCTGGTTTTAAACACAAACAAGTTTATTTTGCCAGAACCTTGTTTAAAATCTTGTAATTCCATATTTTATTAAAATTTTCAGATTTTTATGATCAACTTCACCTGACACTTTGACAGAAAGAAAAGCTGATTGTGGCACAAAATATAAAACAAAATAAAAAACAAAGCCACACCTTTACTTTAATCCTGGTCATAGCCAACAAATCTACATGTTTCTGTTAGTATTGTTTAATTCTCAAAAGTAAAGCAACATCTGTGAATGGCAACAAAATGTGCAGCTGAGAGGAACCACGCTCCGAGGCGCAGTGATATGTTTAATGTAGGGATTATTTACTCATAGATTTTATATCTGTTCCAGTCGTTAGAAACACGGTATGATCACGTCCAAATGAAGGTGTTAATTGATGGGGTTTTTTTCTCTTCCTCAGTGTGTGCCAGCATGTTGGAAAAAAATGCACAAGTTGTCCAAAGCGTCATAGTGTCACAGGACCTGTATAGAGGCCTCTGAGTTCTGGTACACTGGTGCATGCGGGGGTCATTATGTTACCACTGCAGTATAGTTTTCAGTTAAGGAGCAAACTTTGAAATATTTTGCTATTTTGTACATGGGCTTGATTGTTTTACTGTGATTCATTTTTGAATTGTGTTCTTATTACCCTAAAAATCATTGCTTTAAGACCAGAAACCGTTTTTATGAGGTTCTTGTGAATGCCAGCACCAAGATTTAAAGAAACAAGC